CACACACACACACACACACACACACACACACATTCAAACTCTAAGACAGAAAAAAAGGACACCTATGTTCAAGATTCTACAAGGCTAACTGGGCTTAACTGACTGATTAGAATTTGGTGATTGTATAGGGTTGTGGTGTTGCCAAGCCAGGGCCAAATTATTCTGGGATATCTTTAGTCCCCTTAATAGCTAGCTATTCAATGCCTATCTATTTCCTTCTTCAGCTTCCGGGGTGCTGGGATTACAGGCATGCACTCTATAACCCTTTGAGAAATATCTTAAGAAGTCATTTTTATTTTTTAATTTAGCATACAAAATAATGGGTTTCACTCTGACGTCTTTACAATGTGTAGCGTGTATTTGTTCCTTGTAATTCCTCATTACTTTTCTTGTGCCCTTAAGTCCTCCTCTTCTTCCTCCCAGGTAGTTTCTTTTCTACTTTCATATCATATATGTGCATGTTCATACCTTTTAAAGACATCTAGATTCCACCTAAGAGAAAACATGGGATGTGTCTGCTTTTCTGACTCTATGTCATTTCGATTAATGTGGTCTATAATTCCATCCATTTTCTGGTAAATGATGTAGTTTCATTGCTTATAATGAATAAAATTTATCACACACACACACACACACACACACACACACACACACACACACACACACCCCTAGTCTGATTCCATATCCTGACTGTTGTGAATGGAGCCACAAGAGTGTGCAGGTATTTCTGCCATATGCTAAATTAGTCCTTCAGGTGCAGAGCCGGCAGGATTCGGCTGGATCATAGACCAGTTATAGTTTTAGTTTTTTGAGGAACTACCATACTGATTTCCATAGAGACTATTCTAATTTATATTACTAGCATCTGTGTGTATACCCTGGCAAACCACGCTCCCACCTGGCTAGCATTTGTTATTTTGAGTTTTTCTCATAGGGATAAGACTCTCATTGTAGCTGAGTATGGTGGTGCACACCTTTAATTCAAACACTTAGGAGACAGAGACAGACAGATTTCTGAGTTCAAGGCTAGACTGGACTACAGGGAGAGTTCCAGGACAGTCAGGGCTACACAGAGAAACCCTGTCCAAAAAAAAAAAAAAAAAAAAGAAAGAAAAGAAGAGAACAACAAACACATCTCAATGCAGTTTTGATTTTCTCTTACGTTGAGATAAGACTCTCAATGCCTTGATTGCTAAGAATTATGAACTTTTTTCCATATGCTTGTTGACCTTTTTTATTTTTAAAAAAATTATTTTGAGCCAGGCCATGGTAGCTCACTGTAGTGGGTAGCCATTCCAGCTTTGGTCTGGAAGTTTTAACCCCCACTGAGGCTTCGGTAACTGTCACACCTACAAGGCGGGGCCAAGAGAGGGCCCTGAAGACCTGAGATCCGGATGTGCCACCTTCTCTTGGTTCCGGACCCTGGACGCTAGAGGTAAACCGAACAGAGTTCTCCAGAGAACACCACCAGACTGTGCTACGTCTTCCCCAGACCCTGGAGCCTATCCCTTCATTTGTGAGTTACCCCACAAAATAAACCTCCCTTTTAACTACGTGGAGTGGTCTGAATAATTTCACCAATAGCACACACCTTTAATCTCAGCACTCAGGAAGCAGAGGCAGGTGGATATCTGAGTCTGGTCTACAGAGGAAGTTCCAGGACAGACAGGGCTACACAGAGAAACTCAGGCTCAAAAAGCCAAAAAACGTATCAATAAAAAATATTTTGTGCACTCGGGAGGCAGAGACAGGCGGATCTCTGTGAGTTCGAGGCCAGCCTGGGCTACCAAGTGAGTCCCAGGAAAGGCGCAAA